AGCCTCTTCTTATAAAGTCTCGTTTTTGTAGTAGACTATGGCGACTTCAGACTTTTTTAAACTTACCACCCCAGTAAAGTCTAAATTAATAGTAGCACTGCCAATCTTTTAACCCGAAAAAACGCTGCTCCTGTTCATCGTGTTTTTTTCGGTGTACACGTCAGAATATTTTAATATTTGGAGCTGTTACAGCGTCTCTGAAGACACGAACATCTAAGAAAATCTAAGTCGTTTCAAATATCCACCGGTCACGAGATAAAGTGAATTACTCATGGCAATTGACCCCTAACATATAACCTCATGAGCGCTGTCCCTGATGCAGATGTGCCCTGAATTCGAGTGTTAAACCATTTTTCGGACAGACTGCAATAGATAGTGGGGATGGGAAATACTTCCCTTAGCAGAACACTTGAATGACGAACTCCTTCTTATAAATTTTCGTTGGTAACACAAATTTTGGCGTATGCTGAAGGTTTTAAGTCGTGATAGAGAAAGAGGGGTCGGGCATAAATTGTCCTGTCGTCCCTAATTTTGCCTATATTCTTTCAATACTCTCCGACAGAGTATGCAGCCTTAATTCTTAGTGAGAGCCATACATAACAGTGCCCATTTGCCTATCCGAGGAGGGCGTTTTTGCCAAAAGTTTGTGATAAGAGGTGACTGGGGAATCATATTTCAATGTTCATAAATTGAAAAGAAAATGTAAATAAGCTACAATGTTTCGCTTTTTTACATTTAAGAACACTAAATTCTCTCTTCATATGAAAGCAACTGCAAGAATCTGCTTATCAAGCAGATGGGAATCCATTTTTAGGACGGCTAACTGCTCCTCAGGTTAGATCAATGGAAGGACCAAGTATTTCTTTCAAACACTCACGCTTTCTACTATCGCAGCGTGCTACGATCGTTTGTACTGCTCAGTCGTACTGAGCAAAGTTAACCATCTCCTATTGAAACTAACAGATGGTATCTCCTGCACCTACTTGTATTTTGCAGAATCGAGGGCAACCAGCCAATACACCGGGACGTTTCCGAAATCCGATACTGAGGTCATTATACATGCGCGACTATGGTTCATACCTAAGGTAAACCCTATAAAATTGCTTGTTACGTTGGCATCATACCCTGTTTGCATGCATTTTTTTTGTAAGAGCAAAGTGCCCCAGATGCCTTGACCAGGAGAAGAATAGCAGGTTTCAACCATTTGCCTAAGTTTTATAAAACCGCTTTAATTACTTAAGTATCGTCTGCTCATATAATTGCATAATTCCTTTAGCTCAGCGCACATACCTATTATAATTTACCATGGTGTTGTAAGACCACCGATATTGCACAGTGCCCTCTGTACCTATATATCACTACTTAATTAGTGGCCTGCGTAAATTCCTATGGAAGGATATAGAAAACCCTTTGGTGTGCATACATGTACAGTAGATTCCCTATCTCATGAAACGTCACCCAGAATTCTAAAATGCGTTTTCGACTCAAACATATTAATTAAATATGGTTTTAAGAATGACAATCGCACAGCCTAATCTCAATACATTTTGGTCACATCAGGGTGCCGGCTTTTTAACGAGCTTCTTTCTGACTGCTTAGTAAAAGCATATACTATAAAGAGTAGCTACTTAAGTAGTATGCCCTTT